CATTTAGTGTCCATTATGTGTCAGAAACTACATTAAATACTTTACATATCATTTCATCTAATTCTCGCAATAAACCTACAATCCCATTTCACAGAGGTACCTGAAATTCAAAGATGAAGCTATTTGCTGAAGGTCACACAGCTGATCAGTGATTCACTCACAAGTCTCATTCACCACCTCAGCACGCTAACCTAAACCTCTGACCACATACATTCAAATGGCCAGCAGAGAGTCTGGAATTTCATTATTATGCTATTTCAAAATGTCTGACAAGAATCCTTTCTGTAAAAATGCCAGTTCATCTGGTATTTTTAGGGAGCAGAATTTCCAGGCCAATAAACAGATTTTGAAGAAGCCCTTGGGAGCAACCTAGTGCAGTAAATATACTGAAAAAGGAGTCATCGGATTTCACTGTGTCCCTTGGGACAATGGCTCTTAATAAAATAAGGTAACTGTCTCTAAGTTAATTGACAAATAGATTCATCTTGTCCAAATCCTAAATAAGACACATAGAACACATCTGGCTGGAATAAAACATTCCTCCTGGGAAAAAACACTCAAAGATCAAATTAGAACTGCCAAAAAAGACTCCTTTGGAATCCATCCTTCCTCATCTGAGGAGAAATGTTAGTATTCTAGGCTCATCTGTCTTCTACTTGAATGACTCCACAACCTGGAACTGAAGTCAGGGAATGAAAATCCATCTCCTAAGAGACCTATTTAGTAGAGGCAATCTCTTGGGGGGAGAGAGGAGAAAAGGAAAAGCTGGCAAAACATTAGACTGATTAGATCATTCATCTAGCCCTAAAGAATGCAGCAGGGAAAAGTACTTTAGAGTGAACACCTCTTTTTTTTGGATGTCCCACAAAGCTTATGTTACTCAGTCAAAACACTCCTCTCTGTTTTGCCTCTAGCTTGTATGACATACCAAATCGCCGTAACAAAATTACACTAGGTTTCAATAGGGAAACAAGTCAATTATTAAATGTTTCATTCTAAAACCAAACATTAAAAGCAAACTATAGATTTACTGAAGTTTCTTCCTGCAAAGCTAAATAGAATGATTTATTTTCCCAGAAGTCTGTCTGAAAAAAATAATTCTTGTTCTCTTCTTACAGTCCTATTTTCTATACACTAATTATCATAGGAAATAATTAAAACTTGCAGCAACTATAATTCATTTTCTAAAAATAGATCTTGCCCAGGATAAAAGTAGATATCAGAGTTTAATATATTATATTCTACCCCAAAGCTCAAAATCATCAAATTTTTAAGTCTGGAAAGGATTATTTAACACACATAATATTTTTGGAAGGTCCCCTAAGAAACCTACTGATGAATGAATTAGGTGAAATGAAGACAATAAGACAGACTTTTCACTTAATATCATTTTGTACCTTTTGAAATTTGAGCCATGTGCAGCTCAGAGGTATGTATTTGTTATTGTATTAATCCATTATAAATCACTGAGGGAGCCTGAAGAACCCCTCACTTCCCAGAGGTGATAACTGAAGCCACAGGAGGAGATGAGCTGTTCAAGCTCATACTGCTGAAGAGAGGAAAAGCTGGGACTAGAACTCAGGAACCCAGGAGAAGCTCCCAGCGTTTCCCACCTTACCACAAAGTCATGTGTTAAAAGAGCAAGTGCCATCTTGTACAAAATAAAAGTATTCCTACAATCCTTTTCAGAACTGTGGTCCTCCAGAGGCCCATGGCTCAAGATACAGTGCTCATCATGAATGTTTCCACAGAAGTTCTAAGGCTAAGGACCAGAGATTCGTACCAAATATTGAGTGAATAAAACACATCAATCAGCATGCAGACACTGTGTCTTCTCTTAGGGATAGTGGATTTAAGCTTAACCAGGCCAGGAAATGTTGCAGCTTTCATTCTTACTAATAGTAAGGATGTCTGATGACGAAGAATGGAGTTAGTAGTACAAAGAGCTTATTCCTAGTGAATTGACTCAGAAGAAATAAAGGAAAAGCAGAAGACAGGAAATTCGAATTTGAAAGAAGCCTTATTTAATTCCACTGTGGAACTACTCTCAAATAGGAAAACTAAGGGAATCACCAAGGCCCCTTCTAATCGTAAAATCCTCAAAGACAAAGAAGTGGGACAGTTTCAACTCCTCCTGTGAGCAATTCAAGCATACTTTTCCTCTTGGTAAGAAAAAACAACTTTCTCTCTCAATGGGCACAAATGCAGGGAAACAGCAGAGTTCCCATAGGTGGGAATAAGAGAAGCCAGAAATGAAAACTATTCCAAAAATGTCTGTCTGCATACACTAAAGGATCTTGAAAGGATGTTTATTCTTTCCTTTACAGGTCTGTAGGTAACCTTCACAACTGGAGAAATACATACGTGTTATTAGACCTTTACTCTACCTTTTGATATTTGCCAAACATACTGTAGTCATGTATTAGTTATAATCTAAGTATTTTAAAGCACTGAGTAGGTCTGTTTGGCAACAATTAGTTGATGGGGGGAGGGGTATAAGGGGACTAAGTGGTAATGAGAAAATTTTTTTTTAAAAATTAGTTGCTCTGATGAAACATTTAAAAAGGGAGTAACATGAGACAGGATAACAAGTCTGACCAAGACGTAACCTCCAGCCACTTCTACTGCTCATATTTTTTGAAGAGAAATCATGGCATATGGAGAAACCACAGATGAAGACATTCTTAGTCAACTATGGGTCACAAGGTCACATAACCCTGAGAAGTCTCTCTCACCACACCTTCAATTCCAGATCAGGAGCAAAACGCCAAGGAGAGCTCAAATTCTAGCACTAGCCAATCACTGTCATCTCTAGGGAATCTATAATATCAAATGCCTAGCCTCATCAAAAGTCCTCAGAGTGCTGTTTAAAATTCCAGCTCCAATTTGCACTAAATATTTCAGACATAGGAAAAATATTTGAAGTTTATTAATTTTTCTACTTTGTTGAAAATAAATCTACCTCATAGTAAAACTGCCACATAATTTAAAAAAGAAAAAATTACAGGAAACGTAAAGGTCAGATATTATACTCCACACTGAAAGTTATTAATGCCAGCCCTGCCTGGTGCGGTTCAATTGGTTGGACATCTCCACAAAATGAAAGGTTGTTAGTTAGATTCCCTGGGTTGCAGGTTTGGCCTGATCAGGGTATATATGAGAGGCAACCATAGATGTTTCTCTCCCTCTGTCCCCCTCCCTTTCAGAAGGAAGGAAGGAGGAAGGAGGGAGGGAGGGAGGGAGGGAAGGGCAAAGGAAAGGGAAAGGAAGGTATTAATGCCAAAAACTTGCCTTGGCCACGTGGCTTCAGGTGGCTCCACTGGTTGGGTTGTTGGCCCATGCAACAAAAGGCTGCATGTTCACTCCCTGTGAGGGCACACACCTAGGTTGTAGGTTACCCCAGTCTTGGCATGGTGGGTACTGAGAAGCCACAAATTGATGTTTCTTTCTCTCCCCCTCCTTCACCTTCCCCTTTCTCTCTCCCTCCCTTTCTCTCTCTCTAAAATCAATGAACATATTTTTATTCAGACAAGAATTTTTTTTAAACCCTCTATCCAAGTACTTCATGAAAAACATTAAACACACAACCTGGAGCCAAAAAAACAAGTATCATTCCACTCCCTCTCAACAACAAATGAGTTAAACTGTAACAGAGGCTGCATTAATATTACCTAGGTCAGAAGAAACATTTGGTGACTCACATATTTCCCTTTGATGTCAATTTCTAAATTAAAGAGCTGGTTTCTTTGGGGAAAAAAGGAGGGGAGAGCTTTAAATTTGTCCTTTCAAACTTCAGGTACAATAAATTAACCATTCTCAATTTCAAAGTCAATTCCATTTTTCCCCGCAAAACCATGAGTTATATCAAACATCTGGTATCCATGAAATTTATTGCCTTAAGTTCATTCAATTGAGATTTACTGAGTGCCCACTACTGAACAAATAACCATGAGTTAAAAAAAAAACGTTCAATTTTAACTTTACCTTCTCCTAGCACCTCGGTATTTATATATGTAAATATTTTTATATGTGTATATTATTTTTCTGTCGACTTGCAAAAAAAAGTGCAGTGAGCAAAATTCACAGAGCACAGTCATCACACAAAGAAATCCTAATGAAAGCGGAAAATGAGTACCTCCTGACAATGTTTTTAAACGGTTTAGAACTGTTTATATCTCTACTAGTCTACATATCAGACTAAGTCATACACTAAATATTTATTTGCTGTGGTATGAAATAAAAATTGGGAAATGCAGTTGATGTGTATGATTAAAAAGTTCAGACAATGCCAGTTTTAAGTCAATGATTTTATGCTGCTCCTCATTAACTTTTCATTAACCGGGCAAACAAGTAATTGACATGCTGAGATTTCAGATGTTTTATTTCTAGCAGAGACAGATAAAGGGACGTGAGCGAGAAAGAGGGGCACAAAAAAGGGGTATGGTTAATGTTGCAAATAAGACAGCCAATCCTAAATAAGAGACAATTACTACAAGGCGGATAGAAGCAAAAGAATACTTTTGTATTTTCAGCCTTGGATTCTGTTCCAGAATTCAGCACTGCTTAGCAAAAGCAATGGCCTTAGAGCAAATTATTAGATATTGCCCAACCTTCGGCTTCGATGTCCTGAAGAAAAACTTCGTCTAATTTGTTATGACACTCCAGGGCCATTCGTGAAGAGCAGGGCTAACGGGTTTTGAGAAAGTGAGGCCCACAGAGGGCAAGGAGAGCTCACAACGAAAACTCCAAGAGTTTCCCAAGCAGGGACGGAACACCAAGTCCCTCCTTCCGGTGCAGAAAGCAGGGCCGCCGCTCCCCACCGCCGCCCTGGGTAACCGGGATCCTCCACCGCGGAGGCGTAAGGAGGCTCTAAATCAGCCCCTCCTTCCCCGACCTGAGCCCACCGCCCTCTCCTTCGGAGATCGTAGACAGCACTGCACTGTCCAGCTTCGGCCCTCCACCTCGCTGCAGAAGGACATCAGCCAACACCCCTCTCTAACCTGTCTCCGAGCGGTCCCAGTCGGCATCGCGACGCCTCCATTCCCGCCCCTCAGAAAAGTACCCAACTCGACCAGACTCCCGACTCCGCTGCTAAGGTGGCAAGCCTGGCGCGCCGCCGGGCCCCGCCCCCTAACAACCGCACCCCACACTGTTGCCACCGTCTATTGGCCCACGGACCAGCCGCTCTTCTATCATTGGCTCTCGCCGCAGTCCGGCGTTGAAGGAGGGATTCCAAGGGGCGGAGGAACCCGGAGTTAGAGGCGCTTGCGCAGAGGAAGGGATGACGCGCCAGGGCTGGATGTCTGGACCACTGCTGCCACTGGGGCCAGGGATGCGTTTCCTGCAGCGGTGTTGGCTCCCAGCCACTGGGAAGCGAGTCCCTCAGAGGATCCGCCCAGTCCCCACTAATCGCACAAACTGAGTGGGCTCCCCGCACTCAAATGGTTTCTACAGAGACCACCCAGAGCGCTCCCGAGTCTGTAATGTTTATTAGGATTTACAGACCCCTGCTGGCTCCCTCACAGCCCGAGCCATCCCCCAGGACAGAACCTTCTGGGGAACCACACTTGTGGCCTCTCCCAGCAGTTATTCCCAGTGAAGTGCATCTGCTCTCGCACTGGAACCACACAGACCTCCTTTAGCCTCCCCGACTCCAGCCCAAGCTTTCAGAGCATGCCTAGACCTGTTGTACAGACTCTTAAGAATCTTTACCATTTACCTCACCCTACAGCCCACAGATCATCTCCAGACATCCAAATACCGTAAGGGAATCTGCTATATAAATTTGTACTCTCGTTTTCAATAAATCTTGTCCCCAACCATCATGTTCTTTCTCACCACCAACTTACATTGTAATACCTAAAAAAGTTCTGACAAAAGTTATCGCACAGTCAGTTTATAGCATTCCAAGGTCAAAGTTGTTTCCACACTGGGTTTGAATTTCTTCCTTTTTTAAAAATCCTCACCCGAGGACAGTTTTCCATTGTTTTTAGAGAGGAAGAGAAACATCAATGTGAAACAGAAGCATGAATCAGTTGCCTCCCATAAGCACCTGGGCAGGGGATGGAACTTGAACCCTAGGCATGTGCCCTGGCTAGGAATCAAACCTTCAACCCCTCAGCTACAGGTTGACACTCCAACCGAGCCACACCAGGTAGGGCTGGTTTTGAAGTTCTAAGAAGCCTAGAACTTGACCCAAGCTAGGAGAGCAGAGCATTGCACTGGCTGGGTCAGCCTCACAGTGTGACCTTGAACATGGCTCATTATCTGTGCTTCAAATGCCCACCTATAACACACACAGAATAATCCTTGCTTGTCTAGCTTGACCTGAACCTGACACAGAAGTAGGTTCTTTAAGAGAATGGAGTTGAATGAGATGCTGTTTGTACTGGTGAAAGGACAAAGGAGACATTTTGTTGACTGGGCAGTCCTATGTAACAGTAAGTAGTACTCTCTGAAAAGTTTCCACATTTATTTATATAAATTTTAAAGCTACTCCAAGAAATCATTCTGCCGTCCTATTTAATATTTACAGATTTCTTCGGTTGGAAATAAAAAAATCAAAACACAGCAAACCTAAACTTACCCATGGCCCCTTCACCTCCAAGATTCCACCATAGTCACTAAAACAGGGCTTGCTCCCCTTTCCTCCTCTTGCCTTTCTGCCAAAGAGCCAAGGTTGCACAGATGGCAGTTCAACTATAAAGTCAGAGTTTGCTTTGCTTTTTTTCCATCTATCGAGTCATAGAGGAAGCTGCCACTAAGCCTGCCAGAGCTGGCACTCAGAAATTTGGAATGAATTAGTTTGAACAAAGTGATTAAAGGATTAATGACTAGTGGTTAAAGCATACAATTAAGAAAGAACTTTAGTGGAGGGGGCAATGTTGCTGCATTATTGGCAAGAAGGGTTCCCTAAAAACTTTCTGCAACCATTTATTTATACACATCTTAAACAGTTACTACAAGATATTTTAAAAATTTTAACAGTTCATACAAGAAAAATATAAAGTGGACTGTTTATGACACTAAAAACTGTATTTTAAAAAGCAAACCGAATTCCCTTATGACTCCAAGGCTTTAGCTAAAATGCCCTTTTTCTATTGATTAGTGTTATTTTTACTTTGTTCTATTGATGTACTCTTCTGTGACCCAGAAAAATGACTTTACCACCTCTATGAAAACCGGCAATCAATTCCTTGCGATTACTGATGTCTGAGACATCTCATCAGTTTTTCACAAGGAACTGACTTTTATTCAGCTTCCCTCTCTCCCTGAGGTAAGTAAACAGGTGCTGCCGTCTCCTCCACGTGACCTTTACACCATACTTCTCCTCGGGAGTGTCTTTAACCAGAACTGCCCCAGGCTCCGGGCTCTCAGGAGTGCTAGTGTGACGGGAGCAGCCTGGCAGGCTGCTTTCCCGCTGATCTGGGGGAGCAGGCAGCTGCTTCACAGAAGACGACTCTGGGGTCTGGATATCGGGTGCAATGAATATATAAGGTAAGTTTTGAAGTGCACGTGCTGACAGTTCCTCACAGCTTTGAGGACTGAGCATTGGAACTAAGGCTCTTCTGGAAATGTCCTTTTCTGAATGATTGGGACACTCCTGGATTAAGGGGCTTCCAAGTATAGTTGGACTGGAAGAAGGCTGTGGACTCTCAAATGTTAGATGTGCAAACTTGGAGGTGGTAGTTTTTCGACTTGAACGTCTTGACTGGTCTTGATGATGACGTTTCCATCTCCTGTTGGATAAGAACCAGCTATCTGCTGTGGTATCAAACTGAGGTAATACCTAAGGAGTAAAAAAAGAAAAGGTGAGAAGAACCACATATCAAGTACAAACCTAAGGGAAGAAGCTGTTGGGTTGGCCAAAAACTCTGTTTAGTTTTTTTCATAAAATAAAAGACACAGTTTTCATTTCTACCAATAACTTTATTGATTTGTATATTTTGAGTATGTCAGCTCTCTCCCTCATGGTATAACACTGATTGTTCTCAATTAATGTCTTGATTTGCTCACTATCAACTTCAACTGGTCTACCCAACCATGGAGCATCATCCAGCAAGCAATCTCCAGCATGAAACTTCACAAACCACTTTTGACACATTCGATTAGTCACAACACCTTCTCCATACACTGCATCAATCTTTTTTTGTTTCGGTTGCATTTTTACCTTTCTTGAAATAATAAAGCATAATACGCTGAAAATGTTGCATATTTTCTTCAATTTTCAATATTAAAAAGGCAACACAAAAATTTACCAATTTTGACAACTTCTTTAAAAATGTACACTGATTGCCCTGCTAGCGTAGCTCAGTGGATTGAGCGTGGGCTGGGAACCAAAGTGTCCCAGGTTCAATTCCCAGCCAGGGTACATGCCTGGTTTGCAGGCCATAACCCCCAGCAACCGCACATTGATGTTTCTCTCTTTCTCTCTCTCTCTCTCTCTCTCTCCCCCTCCCTCCCTTCCCTCTCTAAAAAATAAATTTAAAAAATCTTTAAAAAAAAATGCACACTGATATGATAGCTGTCACAATACAATCTAACAAAATTGTTTCAAATGAAGTTAGAGACAACTTAATGCTATTAGAGCCATCTTACGGAAAAAAACTAGACGAACTTTTTAGCCAACCCAAAATATACAATGACCAGACACCAGAATCCTAAATGGGACCCACTATTGTAAAGGATACAAAACAAAAATACCTGTCCAATGGGGTATTAACAGAAAGCAATATGAGCTTGGGGCAACCTGTGCAATATCTCTGGCTTTCAGTTTCCTCCTATGTAAGAAAAGGAACAATGCCTCTTTTTATTACACCATACAGCTGCAACTTGTTTAACTCTCTTTAAACTTTGAGGGCAGAGACAAGCAGTCTTACCACTGATCCCAGCACCTAGCAGAAGGCCTGCACAAAGACCCCCCATTAAGAATGAATGATTGAATGCAAGAATAGGGAGATCGTGGATGAAAAGCAAGTAGCACAGAACCTGGCATATGATGAGTTTTCAGTAAACATTTATTCCTCTTCTCATCCACAGGAGCTTAACATTAAGTTTCTTCACAACCATGAAACAAGTATTATGGTTCTCTTCAGCAATCCTGAACAAATTATATTTATGAAGCACTCCAAAGCAGATTTTATGCTTTTGTCTGGTCCTTTTGCTATACTGCTTCCAAGACATGTAGTGACTATGATCTCTTCCTAGGGCTTTTAAGCTGTCAAAACATGACATATACTGTTTCTGTGGGGGGGGAGGGAGGTGTTCGAGGTTCAATGTACTAAATGGTAAATAGAGTACTTAGCTAAATACCTCTTCCATGAAGCTCAGGAAACAATCTCATTTTTTTTACTAGTTCTGCCATTTATCTGGCTTTCTCACCCAGCTACTGGATAGTGAAACTTTTATAATAAACCCTTTTAGATGAATGTGGGACGTGGGGGTGGGGGGCGACACTCCAATTCCAACCAACCCAAGTTGGACTTTTCTTACTTTTCAGTTTGAACTTAGAAAAGGAGATATACCAGAAGAAATGGCCAATGACAGACAGAAAGAGTATATTGCCTCCTTGTCTGTGCCTCCATGAATCTTATTCTTCAGAGGCCCTGGTTCATGGGGCAGGTGAGTCAATGTTCTGAGTTGCCTAACAGAGTAAAAGTCAAAGTAAGAATCCCATGGCCTACCCAGGAAGTGATGGTGTTGTGATCAATGGGCTTGCTGGGCACCTGTCTAGTGTGGGTGATGGGAAGCTGCGGCGATCCATACTGGTGTTTGGGGCCCTCCAGTGGCTGTTGGTGGAACTGCAGTTGGGCTTTTCGGGACGTTTGGCGGCGTTTTTTTCTGGGAGGCATCAATAGATGAATGAAGAGCAGGTAGTAACCACATGGTGCTGTTTGTAGTCAGGTACGAAGAGAGGCTCCAATTCCAACCCATACCTGCAGAGAAGAAACAAAAGCTCTTCCTCATACTCTGTCAGCCAGTTCTACTCTCAACTTACCACTCTACCAAAAGCTCTGGGGAGTGCACCTTCCTAACCTACACCAAGTTAAAACAGTAGTTTACATTCAACAATTGTTCAATGAACACTTTTTTTGAGCATGTGCTCAGAATTTAGTCTACAATATCATTTACTGAGTGCCAAGCACTTGTAGGAACACAGGGGTCAGACAGTGTCTGTTTCAAAGAGCTGAGGGTCCAGCAGCAGGAGAGACAATTACAATCATGGGACCAATGTCTCCGCTCCAGGGGAGGCTCTCTGGAAGAGGTGACACCTAACTGGGCTATGAAGGGCAAGGAAAAGCCGAAAAGCAGGCAGAGCACTCCAGGCTAAGGAGCAGCACAAACAAAGCACAATGACATGAAGGAGAGTATGAATTCAGGGAGTCACAGACCACATGTAGCTGGACACAGGTTTTTCATACCCTGTGTGAAAATTACAAAAATTGAGGCTGGACATGATGTCAGGGTTAGTTCAGACAAACCAGGAGTACCAGATCAGTTTGGATTTTAGACTAAGTAGTCAGTGAAGAATTTCAAACAAAATGATATGATCACACTTGGATTCTTTTTTAACTTTTCGCCCCAGATAATTTTGAACATACACAAAAATAGACTAAATAATATGAGCCTGGCCATTGCCCAGATCCAACAATGATCAACAGATGGCCAATCCTAACCCATCCACACCCCCTACCTCTGTATTATTTGAAGAAAATATAATATCCCCAGTCATTATGTCATTACCATTAACACAACATATATATGTATATATACATATTCCTTAATATCATCAAGTGTTCAGAAATGTTCAAATTTTCAATTGTCTCATATATATCATAATTGTTTTTTGTTTCTTTTTTGTCTTTTGCACAGATCATCCTGGTAACAGTGTGAAAGAAGACAAGTACCCCGGAAGAAGGAGGACCAGTTTTAGGGAGGGCCTGTGTAACCTAAGTGAAAAACGATGAGGCCTGAACCTGGGCCATCAGTGGAGATGGGAGGCTGGAGACAGAGGCAGGGACAACAGGACCCAGAAAGTAATAAAAAGTCTGAAAAAGCACCCACTGAACTGAGTAAACAGATCAGCCTTATTAAGAGGCTCATCATTGTGATGGTGGGATAGAAGCCCCATGAACACAGTAGGTAGAGAGGTAAATCGGAGGTGCAACTGAGCATGCTAGACCTAAAAAGTCACACAACAGGGTGGATTGGTTCCACTCTACCTTCATGATTCTTTCTTTCATTCAACAACAGCAAAAATAACATCCTCTGACTTATGTCAGTAGGCAGTGCAGATACAAGTACAGAAAAAAGGAGAAAGTGTCTACACTCAAGAACTAACATTTTTAGGGACAACACAGGGAATAAATATACCTATTTGTTCATTTACTCATTCAACATATATTTACTGAATGCCTACTCTGTACTAGATAGACACTGTCCCAGGTGCTATAAATATATACCAAAGAACAAAATTAAACTGTTGCTCTATGGCACTTAAAGCTGACTGCTGCTCTGGCTGGTGTGGCTCAGTGGATTGAGCACTGGCCTGCAAACCAAAGCGCTGCTGGTTCAATTCCCAGTCAGGGCACATGCCTGGGTTGTCGACCAGGTCCCCAGTGCAGGGCGTACAAGAGGCAACCACACATTGATGTTTCTCTCCCTTTCTTTCTCCTTCCCTTCCCCTCTCTCTATAGATAAATAAATAAAATCTTAAAAGAAAAAAAGCTGACTGCTATTTTAGACAGGGTTGTGAGGGAAAGCCTATCTGAAAAAGTGATATTTGAGCAAAGACCTGAATGAAGAAAGGAGAACAAGCAAATAGTAGAAAGATGTGAGCAAGGAATAGTCCAGGCTGAGGAGAGTGATAAGTGCAAAGATCACAAGGTGGGGTTATGTCGGACTCTTCAAGAAACAGTAACATCAGCAGAGCTGCACTGGAGCATGTTGGGAGTGTGTTGGGAGACACGCTCCAGTCCATGTGACACGGCTTCGTCGGCAAGTTTAAGGACTCTGGATTTGATTATTCCTAATGTGACAGGAAGCCACTGAAAGGTTCTGGACAGAGGAATAACATAATCTGATTTACACTTTTGAAAGTTAACTTGAGCACTGGCCATGTGGCTCAATTGGTTGGAGCATTGTCCCATGCACCAAAAAGGTTGCAGGTTGGATCCCCAGTCCGGGTGCATACAGGAGACAACCAATGATGCTTCTCTCTCACATCAATATTTTTCTCTCCCTCCCTCTCTCCCTTCTTCTCACTCTTAAAAGCAATGAAAAAAATGTCCTCAGGTGAGGATTTTAAAAAATTAAAATAAGTATGTATATTCTTGGGTGAGGATTAAAAAAAAATTTACTGGAGGTGCTTTGTGAGAAAAGGGGGGTTGGGAGGAGGGATGAGAAAGGAAGCAGGAGCCCAGTGAGAAGGCTGTACTGCAGGGGTCCAGTGGAGAGGTGATAGTGGCAATGACTCCAGTGAGAAGTGCTGAACTAGCCTCAAGTGGACACTGTGTTGAGCAACAATTCTACTGTTTATGTAGGAACTTGTTTTCCACAAAAATTACCTGAAAAGTTTTCCACTCTCTTAAAACTTTAGAACTCTCCTCTCTCAACAAATGACCTATTCCCTACTGCACAAAGAATACAGGAGAGACATCAAGGTTAATACATTTTCCAGAAATCATGCAAATCTGCATATATCTGCACCCATCCTCTTTCTTCTGTAATTAGAGATCAAGTCCCCGCTGCTTTCTAAGGCCTTTCCCTCTGGCTGTGCTTTGGAGCCTTCCTCATGCTCTACACCTTTTCTAAGCAATCATCTGCTCACATTTCGATAACCACCTAGATGGAGATGACTTAAATATTTATATATTCGGTTTAGAATTCTCCACACTCGGGACCCATATACCCTGCTGCCGATTTGACAGCAACTGGATGTCTCAAATGCACTTCGAACTTAACATGTTTAAAACTGTATTCATGACCATTTCCCCTGCACCCCCACCACAAAAGTGACTACCTTCCAGGGAAATGGCATCATTCATCCAGTTATGCATCCAGAAACCCTGACATTTCCCCTTCCTCTCTCCCATCAGACCCAACACCTCTTAAACATGTCTTCAATAAGGCCCCTTTTCCCCCTTTCTGTCTCTCTCCCTCTATCTCCTCACCACCCTTCAGTTCTGACAGTTCTGGCTTGGATAATTGCAATAATAGCCTAACTGTTCTATCCTAGTCTACTCTGGCACCCCCTGCAGACACCTTTTAAAAATGCACGTCTGGCTCAACCTTAGCACCATCTTAGAAACCTTTGCACCATTACAGCCCAGTAGAGGAAGAAGCAAATGCACCAGCTGAAGAGAAGAGGCAGAGGTCCAAGTAAACCGCTAGCTTGTGCACCCATGGAAACCACAGGAGCAGACATAAGAGAGGACAGAGGCCAGGGACACTGGCACAAAGTGTCGGACTGCAGGCCTGCTATCAGCAACTTCTCAATGGATCTAGAAAATACACGTCGTCTGATCGCCCCACCACCTTTTGAGAGACCCACCCTGCTCTTACAAAAACAGTCCCTTTTGGTCCTTTGTCCTGGACCTGTGATATTCAGGACTGGTTCTATTCTCAGTTGTGGATGAATGTAATGTGTATAATAAATCCTCTCTTCTGTCTTAGCTGAAGGGAAAAAATGTACGTCTGATCTTGACTCACTTATGCTTAAAATTTTTGAGTTTTGCATAAGGATCAACTCCTTAGTTTCGACTAAGGTCCTGCTTCCTGTGGATCCCACTTCATCTCACACCACCCTCCTTTCAGGTCTCAGTTCAAACTCCTCAGAGATTCTTCAGCCTCCCTGCTCACCACGCTCCCTCTAGCCACAGTTTTCACACCTTCATCCCTTTGCTTTGAGGGTTTCCTTCCCTTTTTCTGCATAAAGATATCAGATCTTACCAAGATTTAGTTCTTGAGAAAAGGCTTTCCTGGCTCACCTAAGGCAAGATCTCCTTATTGTAGATACTCAAAGTTATCACTGACCTCTAATTTATCACTTCACAGCTATAACCCTCCACTAGCTTTTTTGATTCTTTGAAAATCTGTGCTGCCTCTTTTCTCCCATTGGACGGTGAACTCAAACCTCCTCTGCCACTGCATCCTAGCAGGGCCTGGCACCTACTAGTAGGTGCTCAATAAAATTTGTTGAATAAGTTAACGAAGTACTTTGGTGTATATAAAAAATTGGCTTTGGTCGGGGGCGGGGGTGCATGAGACAGATCAGTATTTGAAGATTTGGAGCTGTGCGATTTTCAAAAAGCTGTTGGAAACTTTAGTAAGATTATATGCTGCCCTCAGAGACTCTCAATCTGGTCGGAGGAACTAGACGATCTTCGATTGTTGGCACATGGTATACAAGTTTCCCCGTAAGGAAATCAACCAGGGTAGACTTCGAAAAGGTAGAAAGATCCCGAGGGAGGCGAGGAGGAGGGTCTCTGGAGTGATTAGGGAACCGACAGCACCGCACTAGGGACTGCAGGCCCACTAGGCCACCCCAGGCGCCGCAGTCGTCCCAGGTCCCCGCTGACCCTCCCTCGCCGGAGACCCGCCGGCGCCCGGCCGGCGCTCTCCCAGCCTTCCACCGCCGCTCCCTACCCACGAGCCGGCCCAGCCGCCTTACCCGCCCGGCAGCGTCCGGGCCGCAGATATCCAGGCCGCGCTGAGTTCGACTCCCGAACGCGGAGACAGGGGCCGACGCCGATTGGCGACGCTCCCTCACGTGACAGCAACGCTCCGCCGGCGCCAATTTCAAACAGCGGAACAAACTGAAAGCTCCGGTGCCCGACCCCACCCCCGGCCCCCCGGCCTGGGACCCCCTCCCCTCCCGGGATCCCCCGGGATTCCCCACCCCTCCCGCACCGCCGGGGACCCGGCGGTCCTGGCGCGAGTCCCTGTCCAACACCTTGGCTCGGCCCCCAGGTTGGAGGAGCCCGGAGCCCGCCCTAGGAGCCACAGCCCAGCAGCGACCGCTACTGCAGTCAGGAGGTGAGTGGGAGCCGAGGTATGGAGACTGAGGCCGGGTCTCGGAGCAGGTAGGGAGCAAGGTCTCGGGTGCCGCGGTCAGGGGGGTCTAGCAGCAGGGCGCGGGACAAGAGTGGAAGTTTGAGGCCACTCAATGAGAAGGTCTGAGCGAGGGTGCAAGTATTTCCTGCATCCACCCCCCTGGCCTGTCCTCATTTCTTTCTCCAAGCACCCCTTGACTTTCCCTGGATGCCTTGACCTCTGCACCCTGCCTGCAGCCTGGAGAGGGCTGGGGTGGACTACTTTCCTAGACAGACTGTGGCTGTGATGAAGACTGAGATGACTCTGCTTTAAGTCAAAGACAGACCTGCCTGCACAGTCCTCTGCCTCCAGGTGCTCTCACCATTAAACCACACTGCCTCCACTCCAGCCTTTTAAAAGACCCTTCTGGTTTTTGAGAACCCTGGTCAGGATGGGGGTGTGTCACAGGAATCACTCTAGAAGGCTCCAGGGCTAAAGTGTTGGCAATGGTAGGAAGAGGCTGGTCAGAGATTAAAAGGGAGAATTAAGCCTTGGAAGATATCTTTGGGGGGTAGGGAGGGGATAATAGTATTTACTATTGATGAGGGAGAGAGGGAGTCTCGATGAGATGGGAGATGGAAGTAAAACTGAGATTTGAAGGTAGAGGACACCTAGATATAAAGGAAAGGGAGTCAGAGTGGAGAGGGCCTGAGAACTTGAAGCAGTTGGCAAATGTCAGGAGTGTGACAATCATTTTTAGTGTGATACCAGATGTCCTAAAAAAGAGACAACCTGTTCCTTTGTCAAAGTATCTCTAAATAAGATTACACAATTTTACATAATAGTAGAGTATACTACATATCTATTAAAATCAACAAAGCACAGCCCTGGCTGGTGTGGCTCAGTGGATTGAGTGCTGGCCTGTGAAACCAAGGGTTTCCAGTTTGATTCCCAGTCAGGGCACATGCCCAGGTTGCCAGTTGGGGGTGTGTGAGAGGTTCTGGCACATTGATGTTCTCCCCCTGTCTTTCTCCTTCCCTTCCCCACTCTCTAAAAATAAATAAATAAAATATTTTTTAAAAATCAACAAAGCACAAATTTTTAGATAAAACTATTTTTTAACATTACACAACCACCTTAGCACATTGTTGGCAGCACATTGCAAGTATAACAGCCTGTGAAATGAATGGGACTCCCTTCTGTTACAGTGTGCAATCTGCTCAAACTTTACCTTGATGTGAGCAGCTTCCCTTTCATCTGGGGGTCTTATGAACTGGGGATTGTTTCTTCCATGGTGTGGCAATAGAGCAGTGGTCCAATCTGCCTTTCTTCCCTGATTCTATTGGCACTGATCCTTTTATTTATAAACTAAGATGACATAAAATATAAAGGCTCTATCCTAGAATGGATTATGGGATTAGGGTTTTGTCAGGGCTCCTAATTACCAAATGCCCTCCTATCCCAGCATCCCTGTCCCTACAGTCACTGGGAGCAATCTGTATTTTAGTAGGCAATACTAGACATTCCTACATTTTTGTAAGTACCCCACTTGTTTCTATAGCCAAACATTCTTAAGCTTCCAGAAGACCTACGTCCAGCATCCATGATGACCTTACGTTCAACCCAATCCCACTTTTCCCATTTGAGTTGCTTCTGTTTGCTCCAGTTTTAACTTTCTTTTGTCAGTGGAATTTATCTATTATCTGAGGTCTTTACAAAGACCTAGGGAGCATTCACTTGGGCATGTGGGCTCCCGTTCCTGGTCATAGAAAGAGGAACACTTCTCTCTAACAGAACTTCCTTCTCATCCTAACATTTCTCTTTCTGCTGTTCCTTGCACTTTCCAGGGTCCTTGCTTGTGATTCTCAATGGAGAGTGAAAGCACAGATTCATAATGAAAACCAGCCCCCGTCGGCCACTGATTCTCAAAAGACGGAGGCTGCCCCTTCCTGTTCAAAATGGCCCAGGTGAAACATCGGAGGAGGAGCCTAAGAGGCGCCCTGCCCAACAAGAGCCTGGTCAAGCGCAGGTCTCCAAGGAGATGGCACAGTCCACCTCGTGCAAGTTTCCAGCTGGGATAAAGATTATTAACCACCCCACCATGCCCAACACACAAGTGGTGGTGATACCCAACAATGCCAATATCCAGAGCATCATCACAGCATTGACTGCCAAAGGAAAAGAGAGTGGCAGCAATGGGCCCAACAAATTCATCCTCATCAGCTGTGGGGGAGCCCCCACTCACCCTCCAGGACCCCAGCCTCAAGCCCAACCCAGCAAGGACCATAAGAGAACAGAAGTGATCACCGAGACCCTGGGACCAAAACCTGCCGCTACAGATATGAATCTTCCTAGACCCCCGGGAGCCCTTCTTGGGCAGAGATGGGAGAACTGTGGTATGTGGTCTGCAAGGCAAAGGGTTGAGGAGCTTAGCCTTTCCCCTTTGGTAGCAAGGACTTTGGTGGCAAGGTAGCCATTGTAGTCATGTTGATGCCTACAACAGACAGGCATGTATCCTGAACCAGGGGAAAGTCATTCTGAAACCTTGACCCAGATCCTCTGGGCACTGTCCAAAGGTTTGTAATTATTTAGGGCTCCTAATTGCCTTCTTTATATTGGGAAAAGATTTCTTTATTGTTTATGTTTATCCTTCTCATTGACTGTGTAAAGAAGTAGGAATCTTTCTCCATCTTAATAAAAGAGAACACTGAAGCATGAGGAGGAAAAGTGGTTTTCTCTGTGCAGATACTGAATAACTCTTTTATAAGGTTGTTTTGACTGATCTGTAAGGCTTAATGTGGCCCAGATTGAAATGCACCTTAAACTATGCCCCTGAATTTCTCCTGAAATCCATAGTGGCTCAGAGTACCTGAGGGCCACAGCATGTATTCCCTTGTCCCTGAAGGTAGAGAGCACTTGGAGAGGTGGTTCCCTAAGCACCAATTTCAATAGGCCTACGGGGCATCAGCCCAGACAGCTAAGTGACATCTTGGATTGTTTCCCCTCTAGCTGGCGGTGAGGCAACAGGCTGCACTCTTAACAACAGCTTGACCAACATCCAGTGGCTTGGAAAGATGAGTTCTGACGGACTGGGTCCCTGCAACATCAAGCAAGAGATGGAGGGAAAGGAGAATCTGCACTTGGAGCAGAGTCAGGACAAGGTGAACTGTTCTGTCACTCACTAGAGGAATCAGAGCCCCTGCAGGGAACTGCTAAGAAGGGAAATAGATCAAGTGGCCTGTGCAGCAGAATTTCCAAGTGCTGCTATTAGCACTCAGTTAGCACAATTCTGTATAACTTTTGAGCTACATTTCTGCTGGAGATCTTTCTCCCCAATCTGCAAAATTTGCTTGAGGGCAGATTCCTCTGGCTCCCTCTGTTCCATTAGCACTGAGCTTAGTACTCCACCCTTAGTAGGTATTCAGGAAATGGTGAACAGCTCTTAGTTTGGAAAGCCACTTAAACTTTAAAAAAGCAACCCAACAATATGAATGGAACACAGCATTTTTAACCAGATAGTTTTCTTAGAAGTTATACTAATAGAAAATAAAGTGAGTTAGATGTGAATTTTAAATTTTTCTGCAGCAATCCAAATTGATTAACCCACTTATGTGGCCTGAGGTTGTTTTTCACAGTTGCTGCACACGTAGATTCTGTTGTATATTCCTTTTAATCATTCATTCCACAGACTTTAAAAGTGAATATTTACATGGGCATGCACATACATAAAAATTGAGCTGTTTACTTAAAACTTGTGTACTTTATAAAGTTATTTATATAAATATATAAATATAATAAACTTTATATACATATATTAATATACAAACTTATAAGTATAAGAAAGCCCAATATTTTTATTTTGAAGCTTAATATTTTTAAATGTGAATAAATATTCACATTAACATTAATATCTTTATTTTTTTTAATATTTTATTTATTTTTAGACAGAGTGGAAGGGAGGGAGAAAGAGAGGGAGAGAAACATCAATGTTTGGTTGCCTCTCGCACACCCCATGCCAGGGAACCTGGCCCGAAACCCAGGCATGTGCCCCGACTGGGAATTGAACCTGCGATCCTTTGGTTCACAGGCCAGCACTCAATCCACTGAACCACACCAGCCAGGGCTTACCATTAGTATTTTAAAATGTGAATCATATACTCGCCTGAGATGTAGTCAAATGTGTCCTTTACAGACATTTTTCTCTCCTATACTAAAAAATATTTCTGGGTAGGAGGGAAAAAAAATATTTCTGTCACACATTGAAAGAAGATGGGTTTACTCATATCACATTAGGAGAAAGGATTGGACTACAACCTTGGCCCCCAAGGTCTGACAAATGGGTGTGGTTTTGTGTAAGATCACTTTTAAGAATCATAACATATATCCAGACTTTTCTGAGAGGTTTCAATTACCTCTTTGGACAATATCTTCAACAAAATGAACGAAGACAGAAAATTGGTACTGGCCTGGACCCCCTCTAAGATGCTTCCTAATTCTAAGCTTTTATTCCATGGAATGTTGGTCTCGGATGAGTTTGTTTCTAGTGTGATTTTTATGGGATAAGAGCCTTCTCTAGGGAAAGTTCTTCAAGGGGGGCTGGAGGAGGTCTGCGAACCCTTTCTGTCATTCCCTTTCTCCTCCCCTTGGGTTTCTCACAACCCTCAGGTTGAGGAGCCCCCAGGAGCACCGACACCCTGGCAGGACTCTGTGTCTGAGCGGCCCCCGTACTCTTACATGGCCATGATACAGTTCGCCATCAATAGCACCGAGAGGAAGCGCATGACCTTGAAAGACATCTACACTTGGATCGAGGACCACTTCCCCTATTTTAAGCACATGGCCAAACCAGGCTGGAAGGTACTGTGTTCCATAACAACCCAGGTTCAGGGCGCTCTAGCCGGACAGCTGGTCTCCACAGATGTGCAGCACTTGGCGTCCGGTGTGAGGGAGTGCTGAGTGCAAAGGGTGCTATAACTGTAGACAGTTGTACCTTTCGGATTAGGACTTGATCCTGCTGAGTCCTGCAAAATCGTCAATGAGAACGCTGCGGTCACTTCATCTGTCACTACCTAAGGTTTACCATGACTCTTCAGTGTAGCACTGAGCCCACTTGTGTGCTACATTGAACAGCAGCTGGAGTGACTAAGTAGTTTTATGAAAAGAGCTTTTAAAAACAGTGCTGCCTTTGAGCCTCTAATGTCAGGTAATATTTCGAGAAGGCAAGGGGTTTCTCTTCATCTTATACAGGGGAACACAGAGACACCTGGGAGTCCCTGTGGCTCTCACGATGATGTCAGAGCCACAACTCAGGTCCTCTGACAGGTACTCAGCTCCAAGCCAAATGTTTCTTGTTTTGTTTTCCCCACAGCAGAACCTTCCCTCGACTAAATTTCCTAGTTTCTTAATTTCTTTACTCACCTATCTTGCTATTGATTACTGCTTCACAGTCTTGGTCCTCTTTCCAGGCCACTGACAGCTATCCAGGTCTTTTCTGTAAGAAATGGCATTGGCCTTTATCCCCGTACGACAGAGGGGTTATGGCTGAGGCGGATGGCTCTACAACTTGGAGGTCAGGGAGAGAGGTGGACACTTGTCAAAGCCTGTACTGGCTACAGTGGACGAGATCTGAGGCTGGTTTCACCTTAGGAAACTTCAACGGTGGTGTTTCTGAATCTAAAGTAGTTGATAACTGGTTGTCTCTTTCAGAATTCCATTCGCCATAACCTTTCTCTCCATGACATGTTTGTTCGAGAGACATCCGCCAATGGCAAGGTCTCCTTCTGGACCATTCACCCCAGTGCCAATCGCTACTTGACCTTGGATCAGGTGTTTAAGGTGAGTGTCCTGATTTCATCTAAATGGGGCCAGAGTTGGAGGTTGCAAATCCACCTCAGAAGGAAACAATTGGTCCTTGTGATGATCTTATCTGATCTGGGGAGAGTTAGAAGGCAGCCTGCCCATGGGTGATTTGCATAAAACTCTCTGAATTGGGTACAGTTGACAAATACCAGATGATACACTTTAGTGCTCTACCAGGCCCTGGAGAGGACCACTTGGAACCAAGTAAGAGGACTTCCTGGGGCAGAGTTTCCCTAGCTGCCCTGTGGACAAGGACAGCCTGGGGTGCTTGTTAAAATACAGCTTCTCAAGCCCTTGTCATGGGGCTTCTGATTTAGTGGGCCTGGGATGGGCCCAGGATTACGTATTTTTAACAAGCATCTCAGGTGATTATTATGAAAGCTAAGAAAACTTGTTTGTGTGTTTCAAGGGAAAAAACAAAACCCTTCTTTAGGCTGGAGACCAGAAACGGAGCCAGCAGAACAACTCTTCAGAAGTGATTGTTTTGGGATTTCACAGTTCCCATAACTGTTCTGCTGGGAGGGACAGTTGTCCAGCATGGTCCTCAGCATCAGGCAGGAATAGATGTTTTTCCCAATGTGGTCAGACTGGTTGGCCATGCTGGTTGTAACTTCGTCTCATTTCTCTCCCACAATGCCTGACCGCCACAGCCACTGGACCCAGGGTCTCCACAATCGCCCAAGCACTTGGAATCAGTAAGAGTCTTTCCCTCCGGCTCGGGGCTTGGCCTTGTTTTCCTTTCACTGCTCAGCATGGCTTTAGTGGACAGGGACAAGACTCTCAGCAGGGGAAGGGAGCCTGTGGCCATGTGACTGCCAACCCTAAATGCAGAGCACCCCAAGCTTCTGGGAGTGAGGAAATTTGTGACTGCTTCCTCATCTCCCCAGAAAAGGGCTCATGCCCACTTCTCCTCCCCCTCACACAGCATAATAAAGGTATGCTCAGCAGAGTGGGCATGGCAAGAGGACATGCCACGAGTTTGGTGCGAGCAGCATCCACAGCACATGGCATAGGCCTAGCAGGAGGCAATATTTCCTTTCATTTTTGCCCTGGCTTTTCTTTGCCACTCGTAGAGCTACGTGCTTCAGCATCCTGTGGGGGTGGTGAGGACACATGGATGTGGTGCTGGGACCTGCCACCGTACATCTGCATGCTGTCCACCTTCCCCACTAACCAGGCTTCAGTGGCATTGCTCACCTGCATCCTCCCAGAGCGACTTTGGTTTCTGGGCTGTGAGGGAGCTCAGTGCATGGTACCAGAGCAGCCAGTGGGTTCTCCTGCCTTCTCCCCCACCTTATTAACCAGGTTTCTTTCTCTTCCTATCTGCCACACACAGCAGCAGAAACGACCCAATCCTGAGCTCCGCCGGAATGTGACCATCAAAACTGAACTCCCACTGGGCGCACGTTAGTATGGGAGAGTGGGCCTCAGGCCTAATCCTTGTTCTGGGGGCATATCTTTAGGGGATCAGACTCCGGGATTCTATACCTGCTCAAAGGGATCTGAATCCAGAGGAGAGCACAGCTCCGGGGACTGAGAAGGGATGTGTCCCTGGACCCCTACCCCTTATCTCTCCTATTTCCTTCTAGGGCGGAAGATGAAGCCATTGCTACCCCGGGTCAGCTCCTACCTGGTACCCATTCAGTTCCCAGTGAACCAGCCACTGGTGTTACAGCCCTCGGTAAAGGTGCCATTGCCCCTAGCAGCTTCACTCATGAGCTCAGAGCTTGCCCGCCACAGCAAGCGAGTCCGTATTGCCCCCAAGGTGAGTGGCTTCTGTTTTCCCTTGAGGATTAAGTGCATTCCCCCTGTGTCTTGCAGCTGCACTCTACTGAGTGGTCCTTGAGAAGCTCATAAATCTAGCTGGGTAGATAAGGCATAAAAACAAAGGAAAATGTAATACCATTATTAAAGCTAAAAAGGACTCTGGATTACAATGTAAGTATTGTCAGAAAGCCCATTACATACTGATGAGTTTATAAGAATTCAGACAAGGTCATTATGATAGATGAGCTGAGATGGTTCAGGAAGAGTTTTCAAAGGAAGTGGGTTTTACAAACAAGTGGATTTGGGTAAACAGACAAGAGGGGAGAGAGAATAGAGGCAGGAAATGCCAGTTTGTACCCAGTAATAGTGGAGTGAACCCATCAGTCCAGCTCAGGTTTCTCAGCCTTAGTACTACTGACGTTTAGGGCTGGATAATTCTTTGCTTGGGGTGAAAGTGCTGTTCTGTGCACTGAAGGGTGTCTACCAACATGCCTTGTCTCTCCCGACTAGATGCCAGGAGCACCTCCCCACCAACCCATGCAAAAATTAAATGAAAATGTCTCCAGACATTGCCAAAGGCCCCCGGGGGGAGGGGTTGTCCCGGGTTAATAAGCATCATTGGTCTAGTTTGAGAGAAAAGTTGAATAACGTAAGTTAAGACCGTACTTTGATGGGCTACCAAATCTGGGCCTGACCTTCTAGAAAAGTTTTTGGGAGCAGGAGCTGACCTGCAAAAAGTAAGGAGAAGGCTCCACCCCTTTCACTGAGATGGAAACAGAATGGGCTCTGGAGTTGAAAGATTTGAGTTTGCTGGGGTTTTTTTAATTATTTTTCTTTAATATACATAGAATTATAAATACCACCACACATAATTGTACATATGTGCATTAATGTGACTGTAGCATGTATGTCATTTTGTTTTCGTTAAGTCCTTTTCCCCCTTTTCTTGTTTTTGCTTCCCCTCCACTTCCCCTCCCCCTACTTCACCTACATTACCCCTGCTCCTCGAGATAACCCACGCTGGTACTTTACTGTGTATGCTGTCTTACTTATTTTATCCATACTTAGTGGAGCAGACATACATCCATAGCCATAGCCATTGTATCTATACACACATAACACACAGAACATTGAAAATGGGATTATATTACAGATACTTTCCTACCTTGTGGAAATTCTTCCAAGTCACTTGGCATAGCTCCACCTTATTGTCTTTTAATGGGCATGCAGTATTCCATGGTGTGGCTGTGCCATAATTTTTCCAACCCTTCCACTTTTATAAGCTTTCCAGAAAATCTGTGATAACTCATATTTCCACCAGTTATATACGACAAAACCAGTGTCTTTGCTACCAATTAGTATTATTAATCTTTTCAATACTTGCCCATCTAATGCACATACAATTACTTCGTATTTCTTTGTTTGTTAAGTGTGAGCACCTTCTTGTTATGTTTAGTTGCTTGGGGTTGTTCGCTGTGAGGTGCTTGTTCATGAACGTGGCCTAGTTTTCATAGGACTTTGTTAATGATCTGTACGAGTTTTTTGTTATTAAAATGTTAACCTTTGTCTTTTATGTTGAAGTTTTTTTTTTTACTTCTATTGTTTGTTTCTTAACATGGTTTGTATTTTCTCTTGCCACAGTAAGACTTTTAAAATTTTATGTAGTCAAATACATCTCTCTTTTCTCTTACAGCTTCTGGGTTTCCAGTCTTGGTTAAGAAGGTCACCCCCACCCTCAGATTGTACATGTAGTCTCCTAGATTCTCTTTCAGGATTTGTATGGTTTTAATTTTTCTTTGTATGTGGTATAAAATAGGCACCAAATTTTATTTTTCTCAGCTAAATACTTATGCCAGCACCACATTAGATGCTCTCTCTTTTCCCCTGTAATTGAATTACCACCTTCATCGTGTATTCTCGTATGTAATAGTTTTTACGACTTTAAAAAGAGGGTTGGTAGCAGCATGTCACTTATTTCGGCCACCATCTTGTGTCCTGCCTGGTGTTGGAGTTGAATCTCAAGGCTTCGAGAGCTCCCTTTCACCTTGTCCCTGCTTCCCTTTCAGGTGCTGCTAGCTGATGAGGGGATAGCCCCTCTGCCCACAACAGGGCCAGTGAAAGAGGAAAAGCTCCTGCTTGGAGAAGGGCTGTCTTGTCTGCTTCCAGTTCAGTCCGTCAAGGAGGAGGAAATCCAGCCTGGAGAGGATACGCCACACTTAGGGAGGCCCGTGAAGGTGGAGAGCCCGCCCCTGATAGAGTGGCCCTCACCATGCCCATCTGTCAAAGAGGACCTGTCTCAGTCCTGGGATGACTCATCCCACTCTCCCACTCCAAGGCCCAAGAAGTCCTACAGTGGGCTGAGGTCCCCAGCCCGGTGTGTCTCTGAAATGCTCGTGATTAAACGGAGGGAGCGGAGGGAGATAAGCCGGTCTCGGAGGAAGCAGCACCTACAGCCTCCCTGTGTGGATGAGCCCGAGCTGCTCTTCTCGGAGGCCCCCGGGACTTCCAGACGAGCCACAGAGCTCGTTCTCCCCTCAGAGTCCTCTGTGCCTGCCTCCCAGTTTGGCTACTCCCAGGAAGAGGGAGGACCTTTTAAGACACCCATTAAGGAGACTCTGCCCATCTCCTCCACCCCAAGCAAATCTGTCCTCCCCTTGACCCCCGAATCCTGGAGGCTTACACCCCCAGCCAAAGTCGAGGGGCTAGATTTCAGCCCAGTACGAACCCCCCAGGGTGCCTTTGGCCCTCTACCAGATTCCCTGGGGCTGACAGATCTCAGTGCCACCCCACTGAAAAGTCTCCCCCTCTTTGACTCACCCCAAGAACTCCTCAATTCTGAACCCTTTGACCTCAACTCTGGCCCCTTCAGCAGCTGTTCACCCTCAGATAGGGAAGTCCCCAAGCCAGGCTCCCCCGAGCCACAGGTTGCCAACCTTTCAGCCAACCGCTCCCTGACAGAGGGCCTGGTTCTGGACACAATGAATGACAGCCTGAGCAAGATTCTGCTGGACATCAGCTTCCCTGGCCTGGAGGAGGACCCGCTGGGCCCTGACAATGTCAACTGGGCTCAGTTCATTCCTGAGCTGAGGTAGAGACCTGATCTGACCCTTGCTGCTCAAGCTGTCCACTCTTCTGGGCGCTTGTGTGGCTGGGCCATCCTTGGCCTCTGAGTGAGGACACAAGCAGGGACCATCCATCTGGGCCTCTAGCCCCTGGTTATGCCAAGGCAGACATCATGCCATAGCTGCCACTGGCAGCCACTGGGCCCCCTCTGCAAGCCTCGAGGCCCTGGTGACTGGACTCTGTGCCACCCTATGCTCTGCTGGAGAAAATGATTCCTCACTCTCCCTGCGAGAGCTGAAGGGTGGGCATAGCAGAAACAAGGGTGAAAAGAGGTTAGGAACTCCCAAAACTGTTTGCATTTTGCACCCAGCAGTCTCACCTTCCCTGCTCCTTGCAGGGTGCCCTTGTAAATAGTATATATCCTCCAGACTATCCTCTAATTTTAAATGCAAGCTTATTTCCTTAGATCATTATCTACAGACTACCAGAAGGTGGGTAGGATGACAGAAGTTTCAATTTGCCTCTGTTCCTTGCTTTTAGTTCCTAGAGAAGGGGGACCTGCAGTGCACGGTTTCCTCCAGGCCCGAGGTACCTGCCTCGACTCCTTGACTGTAGGCACGCAGAGGAGCAGATCCACTTGCCAGGGCCCCTCTTACTGGCCCTCCTTCCCATTTCCCCATCTTTCTTCTTGCAAGTAGAAATCCTGGTAAAAACATCCTCTGTAATACATCAAGAGTTGAAATCGAGGTGGGGGATGGATGCATCTGAAACAGAGTGTGCAGGCCCTGATGTGCACCCATGTGACATTTCTCTGATACTGGCCCTAATTATGCCAGAGAGACTAGCACTGATGGGAACTTGGCCCGAGGCCTCAGAAGGCTAAAAGGACCCTGATCTGCCTGGCTTCTTTAGCATGCACTGTAGCTTTGCAGAGAGCCACCCGAGGCCCCAGCTGACCACATGCATGTGAGCCAGCTCGAGAACACTACTGTAACTACTATTCAATAAAATCCAGGGTGGAAATGTTGGTCTCTTGTGTGTTGGCGTCTGGTCCCAATGGCATAAGGAGGGATTGGAAAAGAATGTGGGTGATGACGAAGGTGGTAGAGGAAGGCCTGAAGCCAACATGAAGCACTTGAGTGCGAAGAGCTTTGGTGTGGATCACCCCCCACACCCTGCACAGGCACACAGCCTTTCTAGCAGAAATCCGCAGCTTCCCCATTACTGTTCTTGCAGTCAGTCCACAAAAAGGGAAAGGAGGACATGCAGGCAGACCTCCTAGAATATTAAGAAAGGATGAGTCCAGTTATAAGTACCTCATGACCACCTCTACTTCCACCCCAAGTCCTAAAAGCCTGCCCTGCTTTTCTCCCCAGGCCTCCCTAAGCAAGTCCCTCCCCAGAAGAGCTCCCATTACCATCACTTGGAGTCAGAACTCGTCTGTTCCTCAGCTCTCTCACCTGAGACAGCCAGGGCCTGAGGGCCTAATGAGCCCTCCTCCCTTCCTCACCACCTAGGAAATATCACCATAGTAACCCCAACAGCAAACAATGCTGCCAGTAAGGTCTTCCCTTCAAAGCTGCCTCTCCTGGCAGTCAGGCCCAGAAGGACAATGGCCTCTAGGCCAGGAGGGTCAGCTACAGGAAGGGGTAATCCATCCCACGTCAGAGAACCCTTCCTGCAGGTAGGGGGTAAGGTCCCATTTCTGAGGCCTACGTTTTTATACCCTCACTGGGCTAGTGACTCTCCCCTTGGTCAGGTAGGGCATGTTTTCTCCAGGGCAGCAGATCTTCCAGCCTGTGAACTGCTGTCTTCCTCTCTTGGTCCTATGTTACTGTGAACACAGCTAGAACAGAGGAGAGGAGATGCCTGGTTAGTACATCTCCTGGACCAACCCACTGGGTGTTCACATAGAAGTGATTTAGCTGGCTGGCCCCAAGAAACAGGTGAGTTTTTAGAACAAGAAAAGTCCTAGGAGTGGACGGGAAGGAGAGGCATTTTTGAAGAGCATAGTTCATGATCAGTGCAGACAGATGACCAAGGTCCCAGCTCTGCTGGTCACTCACTTGGCACTTTGGGTGAGTTATTTACTGCATCTTGCTTTTTACATCTTTGAGATGAGGCCCATACATAACACCTGCTCATAGGGTTGTGAAAATTAAATGAGATGTGGATACATATTTAGCACAGTGCCTACATATTCGCTACTATTTATTTCATGGGGGTTGGGGCACAGACAAGATAAGGGACCAACAGTCTAGATGCTTTCTATACTTGCTTGTATTTTAATGAGAAGCACAATGCACCAATGACAGCAAAATGAGTAACAGGAGGAGTCCAGGTAGAAAAGCACCCAGGTTCCATCCTCTGGAGAAAGATTCCCCTTCAACACTTGGCTTGGTACGAGGCAGTTTTTCCCCAGGGTTTCCTCAGGGTTTCCTGATGTGCCCTGGTAGGAGCACAAGTTCCTTGGCAGGGATGTGGGGGCACCGAATGAAGAGGGTGGGTGAAGAGTGGGAAAATTCAAGTTGAGGGTAGAGGGTGGGAAATCAAAACCCAAATCTGATAGATGGAAAGAGAACAGAAGCTGAAAGGTCTGTGAGAATAATATGGAGCTGTGGTAACTACTGGTGGGCAGGCCAGGAGCAGAGACCCAGCTCCCTGCCAGGCCATCGGTGTCCTGGACAGAGCCCTGGGTCTGGAGGAGGCAGGCAGCCTGTTTCCTCCGGGGCTGCCCCTGGGAAGGAGAGGCAGAGTGCCCCAGGCTCCCTTTGTCTTTCTGCAGATGGTCCGGGCGAGTGAGCCTCTCCGGACCCACTGCACGTGGGCGCAGCGTGAGTTTCTCCTCCCCGATGAGACCTGGGAGTTGCCCGGCTTCACGCCACAAACCTACCACCAGCTGGCCCTGAAGCTGCCACCCCACACAGACATGAAGTCCAAGGTGCGCCACCAACTAAACCACCCTTGGAAGAATGAAGTTGAGCACACCTGGGGCTTTCACACATGGCTTGACGTAGGACAGCTGCCCGCCACCTTTCCCACCAGACCCGACAGGCCCTATGACAGCAATGTCTGGCGCTGGCTGACAGACTCCAGGGCCCACCGCCGGCTCCCAGCAGAGCCCTGCATCCCGCCTCCCTCCTGGATGGGCCAAAACAGCCTTCTAACTTTCATCAGCTGTAATCCTATCTTCTTGGACATGAAAAGGAAGAACCAGGTGATTCTCAGGACAGTGAAGGAGCTGAGAGAGGTGGAGAAACTGAAGCTGAGGAGTGAAGCAAGGGCACCTCCCCTCGACACCAACGGGAACATCCTGCCACCAAAGGACTTCAAGAAGTAAGAGGCTCTCCTTCCTCAGGAACCTCGCACATTACCTGCAGGTGACCCCTCCCTCTCTGATTCCTGTTTCTGGTGTCTAATTGGTACTCTAACCTTCCCACCTCTGGTCATCTGAAAACTAAACTCTGGAGGGAAGGGATGGAGGCAAGGGAGGGACAGCCAGGGAAGGGGCTCAATTATTTAGCTAAAAATTAGGAAATACAACTATGTTCCTAACACCTGCTATAGACCCTGGGGATACACAGAAAGTCATTCAATCCCTGCCCTTGAGGAGCTTGCAGAAGGCAGACACCAACATACATGCAAGGAAAGACAGCTGTCAATGCAAGCTCACACATGCTAAGAGCTAAGCATGAGGCAAAGAGTGGGTGTTGTAAGGATATCAGTCATCAGTGGAAAGAGCTGAGAGCTGGAGTCAGAAGCTTGGACTGCTTAGCTTTTCTAACTCAGTTCCATCGTTGATAAAACAGGGATGGTAAATACCATGTCTTCCTTAACAGGTGGAGATAAAATGGGTTAATGAATGTACAGAAGCACTAAACAAAAAATAGATGTTATAACAGAAGTTCAGAAGAGGGAGGGAGGGATTGATGTAGGCTAGAGCATCCCCCTCAGGAAGGCTTCGTGGGTGGGAAGCCTTCAGAAAGCAGAAAAAAAGGGGTCGGAGGGCTGACTGCAGTGAGCAGGGACAGGAATGCAAAAGCGAAAGGAACCATTGGAGGACCCTGCAGCTCCCTTCTCACTCCCCCGCCCCACCCCCACCCCCACCCCACCCCCACCCTGCCATGGTGGGAACTCACTGGGCGTGAGTGCCAGGAAAGGGGGAGATGAATAAGGATAGAATGCCTCAAATTCTGATCCCAAGGGCATTAAGAGAAGCATTGAGAAGTTGGGAGGTTGGCTGTGGAGATTTGTAAACTTAAAAAAAATGCCAATGATTGGTGATTTTGAGAGAAGATTATTCAGGACCTTGGACTTCTCTCTACTGTCCCTGCAGTGAAGATTACTGATGGCCAATGCCTATCAATACCAGGCAGACAGATGTGCAGGAGACTTAGATCACTCCTCAACACTCAGCCAACTGACAGGGCCAGATGTTCTGTCATCCCTTTTAAACAGCTCTGCAAGGGGTTAAAATAAGTTGTTAAAGTGGCTCTAAATCCATGAGAGAGCACATTCTGGGCACGAGAAACCCAGAGGATTTCAGACATCAAGATGCTTTTGATCTTGCTGGGAAATAGAACATTTACACAAACCCAGCCATTCTCAACTCTGGTAGTGCCTGACAATCATCTCAGCCTCTGTGGAAAAGTGTGGAGGTTGGAGCCGCTCCTGGGAGACTCTCACTTACTTGGCCTGGGGCAGCCTGGGCATGGTATTTTTTAAAAGCTCCTGAGGATCATTCTGATGTGCAGCCAGGCCTGGGAACCTCTTATGTAACTGAAGACAGCAAACAGGGCCCATCTTCTGAACCGGGTGCAAAGCACATTGAGCCACAGGAAATTCGCCACTATTCAACTACGGTTTTTACAAAGCCAATTTTCCACTGCCGGCTCTAACATTGCAGGCCTGTCCAAGAGGGAGCCGTGGGACCAGGAGTCAGAGGGCAGCAGGGCACAGCAGAAAGGGCTCTTGGGTAGCAGCATCACGTTAACCGGTGACGAGGGGAGCATGTGTGCTGTGTTCATTCTGCCTCCCATGGGCCCTGTGTCAGTGAAGGAGGTGGGACTTGAAGAGTAGTTAGAATCTGGATAATGATATTACCTACAATATGGCAAAAAGGTGAAAGATTGACCAGCCAAACACGATTATTCCAGCCTAATGCAAAACACACGCAGGGTACAGGCCAGTTAGAATAGATCAGCATCCACTTAGGAGATGGAAGAGATTCCCTACAGCCCAATTGCTCATTGCTTATGGAGAGCTGCCTCCTGCTCTCCCATCTCACCCCTTCCACCATGCCTGTTCTCCCCTTTGACCTCCCTGTTCTCTCCACACCCTTGCCCCCCAACAGGTACCAACACATCTCAGCTGGTGGAAGGATTGAACCCCTCAGCCTCCATCTCCTACCCAACCCACTTCCCAATAATTTTGCCAGGAGCTGGCCCTGCCCGAACCCTGTGCCTCATTACCAGGAGAAGGCGCTAAAGCTGGCCTTGCTGCCAAGGGCACCCCTGACACAGGACCTCGTGAGGAATTACCAAACCCTGATAGAGGACCGCATTGCCTTGCCCCTCCACTATCTCTCCAAGGGACAGCCCAGCAAAGCTTTTTCGAGGAAGAGAAAGAGAAGACCTGGACATACCTAGAAAACCCTCCAGATGGACGGGGACTGTGCCGGGCTCACAGACCCCTAGGCTCCAGTGCTCTCAACCAATGTTCCTTAAGCAAGAAGGCTTCGAGGTGGCTGAAGGACTCTGGCCTCTGCAGAACAGAGCCTCTCCACCAACCCCTCCAACTTCAAGCCATCTTTGTAGTCCAGACTCCTTGAGATGCTACCGAAACTCTAAATTGTTATGTCTTCCTTGGAGGCCTCTCTCATAACAAGTGGGAGGAATGGGGGAGGGGAGTGGGGAGAGCAGAGTGGGGACCCCATTCCTAGGGACAGAATGAGGAGTGGGCAGGAAGAAGGTGTGTGGTGGGGGAGGCCTGGGGGAAGAGGCACTCTAAGAAGTGTGGGTAAGAAGTTACCTCCACTCCCGTAGCCCACTGGAACAAAACTGGGATTGGTCAGAGTACAGGAAGCTTTTTAGGCAAAAAAAAACTTCAATTCCACCCCTCCATGGACAATCTAATGTCTGGGCAAAGACTGGAAGCAACTCTGTTGGGTTGCAGGTCCTACACAGGGTTTGGGGTAGCAGGGGTCAGGCCAAGGCTGGTGCCAGAGGATGGCACAGTTAAGTCTGAGGAAGGCTGACCAGGTCTCCTGTAACAGACAGGAGAAGAACAAGGTAAAGGTCAGACTGGTTCCCCTAGAGCATCACGTTAGGGCCTTGGGCCTGTGCTGCAGGTGACCCAGATTCCTCAGCTTTTACAACGGGGTGTCAGGGACAAGTGGCCTAAAATGGGAGCAGGCAAACCGTATCAATCAGAAAGGTGCTGCCACAAGTTGGGTAGAGATGAGGTAGGGAAGGGCCTGCAGGAGACAAGGTGGAGGTGGCAGTGGGAGGCAGCTGGGAGGCCTCTGAAGAGAAAGCCACCTCACCTCTTCTTGTCCCCGTCAAACCCCAGGTCTTCCCCGGTGGGGCTTCTCTTGGCCTCCTCCCCACTGCCTCTTTGTCTCCACCCTTCTCAAGCCCTGCAGGCACCTGGGAATCAAAATACCACAGGGCTCCAGTCCTGGTTAACCATCTACTAACCAGCTACATGACCTTTGGGAAGGTTGTTGGTCCCCTCAGGTTTTCAGTGTTTCCATGTGCACCCAGGAGCCACTAGGATATAAATTGGTGGAATAAGTAAAATCACATAAGTGAGGTCCCTGAAAAGTGTCTAGCACATTGTAGATCCTCCATAAATAAAGCTATGAACCATTGCCCCTAGAATAAAAGTAAAAAATGAATGGAATATTACATATTCATAAAAAGGAATGAAGTACTGGTCCATGCTACAATGTAAATGAACCTTGAAAACATTGTACTGCACCCAAGAAGCCAGAAAAGGCCACCTATTGTATGACTCCATTTATATGATCTCTCTAGAGCAGGCAAATCCATAGAGACTAAAGGTAAACTGATAGTTGCCAGGTGCTGGGAAAGGAGAAAATGAGGATTGACAGCTTAATGGGTTCGGAGTTTGGGGATGATGAAACTAGATAGGAGTGGTTACACAACACCACGAATGAGTGAAATGCAACTGAATTGTTTCCCTTAAGTGGTAAATTTGATGTGTATTTCATCTCAGTTAAAAATAATTTTATGCCCCAGCTGGTGTGCTCAGTGGATTGAGTACCAGCCTGTGAACCAAAGGGTCGCAGGCTTGATTCCCAATCAGGGCATGTGCCTGGGTGTGGGCCAGGTCCCCAGTAAGAGGCACTCGAGAGGTAACCACACATTGATGTTTTTCTCCCTCCCTTCCCTTCTCTAAAAATAAATAAATAAATCTTTAAAAACAAATTTTAAATAATTTAATAAATAGTGTGTGTATACAGAGTTCCCAAATTTCCTTAGAGGTCCAAATCTATGACTCTATTCAACAGTCCTTCTCTCTGCCACCTTTCTTCGTGGTATGTGTAAGGGGTAGGTGGAGAGGAGTCAGGGGTGAAGGAGAATTTCCTGAGTACTCTGAGGAGGTGCAGGGGCTCTGGGAATAGACCCATTCTCCCAAACTTTGGATTGGGAATGGTGATAGAAAGGACGAGGTCCCTTTACCTAGGATCCTACCATGTCAGAGCTGGGTAGGCTATCAGAAAACATCTTCTCACTGGCTAGAGGCCAAACCAAGGCCCATTGGAGAACTGACTAGCTCCAGGCTACACACACTGGCAGTCCCTGGCCCCCCTGGTGGTAGGATAGGAGACACAGGGCTGTGCTCTAGGAGGAAAACAGGGCCTGTGTTCTCATCCTGCTTCTCAGGCTACTTGCCCACAAGGCCAGGGTTTGTTGTCATCACAGTGACAGGACTGGGGATATTTAGAGGGTTAATATGAAGACTTAGGGGGCAGAAGGAAGGAGGCCATTGGAATTCTTCAGAGAAAGCTGCCCATGCTCTGACCTGGAGCTAGTGGAGAGCACAAAGGTAAGCTGCACTTATACAGACTTGGCCTTGGCAGAGCCAGACCACTCCAAGGCTGCCAGCCTCACATCAGAAGGACTTCCAGGGCCCCAACCCCCAATCACTTTCCTGCTCTGCTCTCCAGATAGCACCCTCCTTTCTCCTGGCAGGTGGACTCCAACATTATCAGGGCCCACTCGTCTAGTGGCCAGCCAGGGATGTGGAAGCAAGGCTCCTGAAATTTCTGATCACCCATGGAGTGGTCCATGGAGATCATGGGGGACAAGAATAGCATCCATCCACACGTCCTCCTGGGCCTGAGGACTTTTGTAAGGCAATCTCCAGCTCAGCCAGCCAGCAACCGTGAACACCACCCCCTGCCCCTGCCCCTGCCCTCCCACATACCCTAATGAATAGGGAGTTCTTGAAAGCCTTTGGTGGGGTGGAGTTGGAGATCCCTGTAACTTGGGCCTGCCTTAAAGACCTCTTCTCTCACTGCAACTTTTGAGAGTATATCTGAGAGGGTGGTGGGGATGGACCTCTGCAGAACATGCTGTGTTCTGCTGAATGCCACTAGTTTCACAGACCTGAATTAATCCCAGCAGAGAGGCTTTCAAAGCCACTTCTGGGGCAACACCTTGCCTTCTGCAACCTCAGTTTCCCTATGCCCGGGATTAGTCTCATGAGCTGGGTTGCTGAGGTCACTTCAGGTTCCCGAGCTGCTGGGGGCCTGAGGAATGGTTGGGGGTCAGCAAGCGTTGGAAGCTGTGGGGACTAGGAACCCCTGGGAGAGATGCAGGGCCAGCTATTTGGTCAATCATGACCTTCGGTCTTCATCTGGCTGTCTCCCATCTGAATGTCATGCCTCAAAAATCCCCATTGCTGCTCCCTGAGATGACAAATCAGAGCCAAGATCCTCTCTCTAGCCTTCCCCAGACTCACTTCCACCTTCCCCAGAACACTCTGGCCTCTTGTCTCTACTCATCACTGGCTTGCTAGCTCAAGCCGTTTGTCTTCTTGCTTCTCTTCCACCTTTGAACTCTTTCCTGGTTGTACTGTCCAATGAGCCACATACATTTACTCTTTTCATTACATCATGGAAGTAATTGTTACTCCCTGGCTTGCTGTATTTAGTGGTTCTGTGCCTGAGTGGTTGCCCATCTCAGGTTAGTCTCCAGCCAGCACACTCTCTGCAGGTCTCTCACAAATGCTGTGTGCTTGTAGGATAATGCTGCTGCATCTTCTGCTTCCAAGGCAGAAGTTTTGATGTGGCCTCTTTTTGCCCACCATCATTTTCATTGGATATTCACTGAACAGTGACACTGAGTATCATGACATGGTTGCTACATAACGGCCAGTGACTTCTTTAGCATGAACATCCCTAGAAAGTGGACATCATGTCCAGGGGTGCCGAGGACAGGCCCCAGCTTAGCAAGGATGGAAATTGAAATAGGAAAGAAAATAGATAAAAACAAGAGGGAGGAAGAGAAATGCTGGTGCCCAAGGAAAGGTGAAACGAGAGTCTCTATCAAAGTTCAAGAGGTCTACAACGTTTGGAAAGAGTTGGGCAGCTTTGCCAGATTCTCTGAGGGCACTTGCCAGGTGAAGATTAGGGTACAGGGCCCAGGGGATGACAGGCCGGCAAATAATCCCCCACGGGTGGGAGGGAAGGGGGATGAGCAGGAAGGGTGATTGCCCTTGACTGAATGCCTGTGGCATCAGCTGGATTCTGTGACTTCAAAAATCAGGTGAGGAGCACAACAGGCTGTTCCAGTGTCTCGTCATCTCAGTAGCTATGGGGACAATGGCCTGTTTCCTCCTGCTCTCCTGGAGTCCTGCCGAACAATTCATCAACAAATTTTGTGTAAGAAGAGAGAGAAGAAACACACATACACACACAAAAACCCTACCCTGATAAGGCCAAGGATCTGATGGGAAGATGGACAAATAAACAATTAAAATAGGATGAGAAATAATGTACTAGACACCCGATTTGGTTGTCCTCTGAGAATGAAGGGGAGAGGCGTGTGTGTGTGTGCATGTCCGTGCAAGCACGAGCATGCATATGTATGGTTCCAAAATAACAGCCAGTGTCTACTCGGCATTTACTGTGTGTTATATAATGTGGTGAGAGCTTTTCACGTGTCACCCCATTTGACCCGCACAACACCTTGAGGTGGGTGCCACTATAATCTCCATTTTGGAGATGAGTAAACTGAGGCATAGAGAGCTTTTAATCATTTTGCTTCTGCTTCTCATTTACACTTCACAGCAGTTCTACAATTCCATGTTATTTCAGTTTTATAGATGAGTGCATGGATTCCAAAAGATTGAGCACTTCACACAGTCACCCAGTTAGTAAATGACTGAGTTGGAATACTTGACCAAGCTTGTCTGAGTTCATTTCAATATCTTCTGTTTGGTCTGCTTTCATCAGTAAATACAAATACTTGGCCTTGTTTTTCCTATCTGTAAACTAAAAGAAAAACATCTTAGTGTCAAATATAAAAATTTTTCCCTAGCCTGGAATCTTTGGAAGATCTACCTTTGGGGATAGAATTAAGGTGATAAACTTTCAAAATTGGCACAGACCTTCTGG